GAAGATACAGGTATCAGCACAGCTGACAGCCACTGGCAAATTTGCACTGATAGATCATTATTATCAAGGCAAGAACAAGTTTTAGATGTTCCTTTACCACAATGTTGCCAGATGAACTACATATACAAAACCTGAACTTCTTTGAACATTTTCACTCTGTTGTGCAAGCTGTTGAAATAAGCTTCCATCTGTCCACCTCCTAAAGGACATTGCCAGGAGTGCAAGGGAAGAGGGAAAGCTGCTCACATCTGGATTCCAAAAGGTAAAGGACACTCTCCTTTGGACAGTGTAGCTAATTCCCATTCCCTTAATGAGCCTTCCCTTCTTAAATGGCTATGAGTCAGCATCATGGAAATGTGATTTCTTACTGATATATGTGTATAGCACCAATGGATAGCAGATTCTTGTTACAGACAGCACACAATGCAAGAAATTAAAATTAAAATGACAAGTTTAATTAAACAGAAAGTTCAGTGTGTCTCTTTCAAATCCTTTTCTTAATGCATCATAGAGAGCTTTGGCTGTCTCACAGATAGCCCTCTACAGTGACTATTATCCTCTTCGCCTTCCCTTTTGAAGTTAACTGCATTACCTTGCCAACAAAGCTGAGCTGGCCCACCCGAGCCATGAGACACCCGAGGCCAAGCTCATGTTTTCATTGTTACGGTGCAGTTACTGATGCATCAGACCATCCCAGGATGACACACATCCTGCCAACAGGAGTTATTCCCTGAGGGTTTGTCATAACGGATTATTTATGCCGGCATTGCACGATTTGCTACTGTAGTGTGTAAATCAAAACACACTTTTAAAAAACAAAAGGAGATGATTTCTGCATTATGAACAGTCATGTAGATCGGTAATGACCAAGTGTGTAGAGCTGCACAAATATCAAGGATAAAGTAAAGTAATGACCCGGTGTTTCCAGAGAAACATAGATCACTATTGTTTATGGCTACAAGTTGGGTGTACACTTCTTTGCTGAAGGATGAGCAGCTGTGGTTTCACTCTTCTCTCGAGGCAAACATTAGATCAAAACTAGATCAAAATGACACATGCTCTCCTACTTTCCTTTTTCTTCTAATGTAAGAAATTAAGTCAGCCACTGTTGCCCTTGCATCAGCTACTCACATGTGAAATACTTTGTTCTGTTTCTGAACCTGAATACTTTTAAAATACATTTAAAAGAAAAATCTTGTACTTTTATAATCAACAGAAGCTCATGATTAGCAGATACCAAACTGGTTCTGAATCTCATTCTCAGTTCAGAGAGGGAGAATAACAAAAAGGCTAAGGGTGTGGATTTGAAAAGTAGCCTGATCTGAGGCATTTTGGAGTTTCATGATCCCACTGGGTCATGGCAGAGGCTGGCAGGCTGTGGTTACAGAAAGCTCTGCTGTATGTATCTCATATCTCATATTTGGTGGGTAAAGGATGAAGTTCTAAAAGGCAGCAATCACTTCTGTGTTTTGCCTGAAGAAACAGAGCACAGTGAGCAAGAAAGTGGATGGTGGGCTGAGAGTTGGACCTGTCTATCCGCATTTCATGTTCATTTTATGACCTCTTTTATGGTTAGGAAGATGAACTACATTAGGCTTCTCTGCATTTCACCATGAAATTGTACCAGAGGAACAGATTAGTTTAGATGGTAACAGCTAACACTTCTGCCAAGCTCAAGAACCACTACTTAGACACAAAGCCAGCAGTATCTTCGAATCCAGACCCCTGCAAGTAACTAAACACTGCCCTTTAATGACTGGTGGATTAGCTCTGTCACTTGAAAAAGGGATTGAAATGAATACTAAAATTAAAGTAGTTTTAACACTGCAGTTTCCAAATGAGTTGTAAAATAAGCTGGGGCGAGTTTGCATGAGAAACATTTGCTATTAAAACTATGGGACTTGAGCCAAGCCAGCTGTGCTACTGCTCCTCCTTTGCTCCTGTACCAGTGGGTGCCAGAGGCTACAGACTCTGGAGGAAGAAAACACGTTTCATTGCTCTCATTTGATTCCCTCAGGCTGACACATGGAGTGGATCTGACAGGCTCTAGAGCAAGCTGTGTCTAGCCTTCTTTGGCTGGGGAGAGGATTGCTGACACATCGTGCTTTGAGTTTTGGCAGGAGGCACCATCAATGTTAAAGCAAAAGAAAAGAAAGAGACTTTAGGTTACTGAGTCTTTAAAGCAGAGCTGCCTGTGGTATACAAAATTTACAAGCAGCCTGAGAAAGAGGTCATGAAAAGGTCCCCATTTAGTCAGATTTAATAGACAGCTATTCACCGGCTGAAGTTCAAGTTACAGGTGCTCAAAGAAAATCTAATTTAATCAAGCTCTTCAAGAAAGCTGGGGTCCAGAGACAGAGAAGGTCAAAGATAAGGGTCTGGATAGGCACAAAGATGTGAAGCTAACAGGCAAACAAACAATGTGAAAATAAAAATACATGGGTCACAAGTTACCCACTTGAAAAGATATAGATAAAAAAAATTAAAAGAATTTTCATATGTGGTTTAGCAGAAGAAGCCACATCTGTTGATTCATTTGAAGAACAGCAACATGATCTAAATTTGGAGTATGAGCAAGGTAAAATAAAATACTTATATTTGCTTTAAAGGAAATAAAGAAGGAAGATGATCAACCTCTCAAGTGTTAAAGAAATGTGAAGTGGCTTGAGCTCAAAACTATTTAAATGTGTTACGCAGCAACACAAGCTACTTTTTAAACAATTGGATCTAATAAATAATATGGACCAGCTACTGAGGGATGCATCAGTCCCAGTTAAGTTGGGGTGGTTTTGGTTTGGTGGGGTTTTTTTTTGCCTTTTTTTTTTTTTTTTCCAGAAACCTGGGAACAATCTTTTCTTTCTTTTCAAGACTATGAGTTTGTGAATGCATTGTAACTTTTTTCTAGACATGGATCCATTTTTGTGATTTTTTTATGCAGCATTCATATGAAAATATTGTTATGAAAATATATGAAAATAAATGCTTATGCATTTTAGCATTCTTACATTACATTACCTTGAACAGCTGTGTGGTCATTAACATGTATACATTGAACTTGAAGGAGCTAGTACATATCAGCAGGGATAAAGAGCATGAGATAAACATCCTAGAAGCTCAGTGGTTGACATATTTACTGAAGTGCTTCCTCCACATAAACTATTTCTCTTAGCTGTAAGAAGAAGATTTAAAATGCAATTTATATTATTCAGTGCTTATAGAGGAATGTGAATTCCATTGTTTCAGGGTAATTTATTTTGCTTTATCTTTAAAAAAGGGAAAGACATTGTTAAGAAATATAATAGCCTGCATTTCAGGGTGTGTGGTGTCATGTTTCTGCATTGAAGAATGAAACCCATCTCTGAATACAGACAGCCCCAAACCATCTGTAAATGCATTATTATAGTTTGCTTAATTGGAGAACACCCTAAGAACATGCTGAAATAATGCTTGGCCTGGTGTCCATATCGGAGGAGAGATTCTGGCAAACCTGGAATCTATTTTGAAGGAGTTTGCCAGCTGGCTTTTCACTTTCTGTAGGAAGTTTGAGCACTTCTTTAGTGCTCTACTGAACTAGACCTGATTGAACCTTATGAAATAAACCATTGTAGTAATAAAACGAACTACTTTATTTGGTAGATCTAGCAGTTTTGAGTGTAATCAGCACACAAATTCTATCAAAATTATTGTCTTGATCTTGAAATTCATTATAAAGATGTATGAAACTTGGAAACACCATCAATGCAGAACACTTCTTCCTTTTTTTTCCGCTGCTGCTTACATAGCAGAAAAACATTTAACTTTGCTCTCAAGCCTTTCATTACAGATTGGCACTCTCTCCTTCACATCAGTGGTAAAAAAAATGGTGCTCACCTTTTCCACAGCGTCTGACTGGACCTAAACTCCGTGTAAGTCAGTGGCACTGGCACCAAGTCATTCCTCCCATCCCTGGCAGGGTGTTTTGCAGACAGAAGTGTCAAAGCCCTTACTCAGTAAGTTTATGCTGCACTAGAGGCATCAGGCACCTGCAACAGGTCCTACTAAGAAGGAAGAATGGGAGGCTCAGCAGCCATGGGCAGAAGAAACAAACTGCCCACGTAATTTTGGTTTTTATTATATGTATATATGTATATATACACATATATAGACATATAAAACCCAGTCTAGTGGAAGGTGACCCTGCCCATGGCAGGGGGTTTGAAACTAGATGAAGGTCCCTTCCTACCCAAACCATTCCATAAATCTGTGATTGTTTTACTGCTCTTTTTACCACCCTCTCAGTTCTTTATTTGATACAGCCAAACAGAGTCAGGATGGAGATTAGCAGTGGGAAGGCAGTTAAAAAAAGGAGCCCCTGAGGAAGATCTGAAGAAGGTGGATTAGGATCTGACCGCACAGCGAGGTCGGGCGAGGTTGCTGAGGATTGGCAGCTACATACCATCCATTGCACAGGCTCCACAAAGGTAACTAAACTTGTTTTTCCTTTCTCTAAATGCTGTTTTTGTAGCAACATAGTGCTGCCAGTTCGGACGTGCATTTCTTTTTTAACCAGGCGTTCAGTATTCCCTTGCCCTTGCGCTGCGTTAGCACCAAGTGCCCCGCGCTGCTGACACGCCGGTGGGCGCACACGGCTCCCCATCGTCCTTCCCCAGTCACACGATACCGGCGACATAACACGGTTATCCTGCCGCAGGTAAGGGAAAAGAGTTTTAATATGGATAATGCGGCGGGCGGCGGCGGCACCCAGCCAACACAGCAGCTCTGTGAACACAGCCAGCGACTGCCCCAAGCCAACATGGCCCCCGAGGGCATAAGCGGCGAAGAGAACCGGCGGCCCTGGTAAGCGCGGAACCCCCCGCCCCCTGCCGGGCGGCCGCGCACGCGCTCCATGAGGTGAGGCTAGGCTAGGGGAGGAGAGGGAAGGCGTGGCAGGCCGAGGCCGGCGGGTTTACCGGGGGAGCGGCGGCGGGGAAGGCTGCGGTCCGGTAGTCTGCGCTCCAGCCATGCCCGTACGCTTCAGGGTGAGGCGGGGCGGGGCGGGGCTGCCGGGCCGCGACCGGGGCGGTGGGGTGTGTGTATCCATGTCTGTCTGTGTGCGCACCCCGGCGGGCCGGGCCCCGGGCGAGGGAAGTAGCGACCCCGGCGGGCCTCTGCGGCCGGCAGGAGGAGGGAGGGGATTCAAGCGTTTATAGGGTGCCACCGTCGAGGCGGGAAAGGGGAGACCTTTGCGCTCAGGAGCTAATGAAGACGGAAACAGTTCAGTCGTGTCGATGACAGCGGGTTCTGGCTGTGTTTGTTCCTGAAACTTTATTCACTTAAAAATGTAAACAAGTTTTTTTGCGTACTTTTTGTGCATGGTGTTATTCCGCGCTTTTTCTCCATAGCAGTCAAGTAGTTTTTGCTCTTCGGAGGGTAGGTAAAGAAGGGCTGTTTGCATATGTATAGCTGAATCCTGCTGCGGCCTTGTTGGTGTTTTTCCCCATGGAGATCTGTTGCCAACAGACGCAGGGAAGCAGGATGTGCACCGGTCACTTGACAGACACCTCTCTGTTTACTGCAGGGGCTGAGTGAATATAACAGAAACTTCAGATGGAAAACCCCAGAGTTTTGTAGTCCGTTCGAGCAGCAGAAATCCTTGTGGGCAGGACTTCGGTCAGATCAGTTTGGTAAGCAAGTGCCCTGAAAAGCTGCTCCATTGATTGCAAATCTGAGCTGGCTCTGATAAGGATGAGGTGGGGCTGCAAGCCTGGAAAGGTTTGCTGTGATTGAGTACATGGCCACAATGAGCTGGTAATGTTTGTGTTTTGTGCACTTTATACAGTAAAGATATATTCTTGGTCATCATTTAGAGTATGTCTTTGGATGCCATATTCTTTCTGCCTTTTAATCTTAGTGTTACTTTTTAAAATCTGAAAAACACATGGTTTCTAACATGCAGCATAAGCCAAGTCTCAAGCATGAAGCACACATGTAGTTTTAACCCATACAGGGTGTGCAGAAGGAGACACTGAGTTAACTGTGGAGCATGGAAACATTAAGTAAAATTCTGTATGTAAGGGAAGACTGACTTGGGCAAAATTGCTACAAAGTAAAATTGTTATGAAAACTAACGGGAACAGGTAACAGAAAAAACAACGCAACAAAAAGATGATCATTGAATGGAAAAGGTTGTGGTGCTGTAATATAGGAGTTAGGGGTTGTAGGCATTATTGTGGCAGGAAAATGCAGGCTTGGGAAGTAGAAGACAAAGGAAATGGCATCTGGATTCAAAGGCCTGTAGGGAGTTGAGGAGTAGGAGTAAGCTGGAGGGTGCTGACAACTGCAGTGCTTTGAAAAGGAGCAGTAAAAATAGGAATTACTGCAGTAGCACTTTTGCAATCTAGTGCAACTGCACTACACAGTCTGTGTAATTGGGAGTCCAGTATATTCATTCCTACAATAAAGGTTCCAAATTAAAGCCTGGTAATTAAGAACCAACCACTGGGAGTAAGGTTTGTTTTTAGTTGAGATGCTAGACATTTTAATAAATAACTTAATCTTCCTAATTAATATGCTTTATATGCATTACTGCTGTTTTCCATTACTGCAAAATGTGTGTTTTTTTAATTTTGCTTTCCTTAGCACGTGGGTCTGCCTATGGGTACCTGTATAAGTTCCACAACTTATGAACATTTAAACATATTAACTTCTTTTCCAAACTGTAATCAATGCTTCTTTACCAGTCAAACTAAACTGCAAATTTTGCAAGACTTGCAATAAAGTCATGAGTTAGAAATACAAAAATTTTACCTCCTCATGTTGTAGCAGTCTTTTTGTGCTTGGTGTAGTTTTCCTACATCTTTGTGTTAATTTTCACTCCCACCTTTTTTCTGGTCTTTTAACCATCTGCATCTTCAGATGTCACTCTTGCCACCTCATAGGAATTGCAGATTGTCATTGATAGTTCCCTTGCAGTTCTTCCAGTTGAAACACATAGTTAGCAGTTTTAAGGATGACTTAGACCATCACCCCAAGAAGTTAACAGCTCCAGGTACTCTGACTTCCTCTCTGATACTTTTTCAGACTTTTTCCACTGGAATTGCTTCCTACTACCTGTATGTGTAGGCAGACATCCAAACATTCTGCATACCTGTCACCATTGTTTTTTCTCTCTTTTTCTATGTAGATTTTCATGACATAGAAGTTTCTCTCTAGCCTAGAAAGTGTTTCATTAGTCAGTTAGGGGCCTTCACTTATTTTTCTCTCACAGCTGAGTACTTTGTAGTTGGATTATGATTTCCCACTTTAAATGCTTTCAGTCATTCAATCCTGTTCTTAAAATGGTGGGGTAATTTTATTTTCATCTATGTTTGCCAAGGCCAGCAATTCTTTAAAATAATTTGATAGCTGGTTTTGTCACAGCCTTTTTACAATTTTGAAGTTATTTTGGTGTTCATACTGTAAAAAGTCACCAGCTATCTGAGATGGTTTTAAATCAGCATTGTATTATATGGATAAGGGTCTGTCACTGTCCTGTCACAATCATCAAGAACCTCTTCAGAGATACTGTGCATGTGTAATGAGAAATGTTTCTGGCATACTGTAGCATTGCAGATTGGTTATTCTGCATCTGTGTTAACTGCATTCTTTTACTGGCTGTGTTAGTTTTATTGTTGTTCAGCTCCTAGAATCAATTTGCAAAAGGCTGTCCTGTGGCTGTGTTTGCTTTATAGGGTTTTATCCAACATGGTCCTGGAGCACCATGTTCCTGCCTCTCTTTAGTGGAAAGGAAAGATGTTCACAAATAGGAAGAAAGACAGAATTTCACAGCTGTGCCCATAATTCATAGGCTGTCATTGTTCAAGGATATTAAAATAGTTTTTTTCTAATAAGTTCTATGATAAACTTATAGTATCACTCTATTACAAGAATAAACTAAGTCTTCAATAGAATGTTTTTATTAAACCTAATATGTCTTTTTCAGGAATCACAAGAGAACCAAACTTCATTTCCAAGAGAAGGGTGCCTTACCATAATCCACAGATTTCAAAGTACTTTGAATGGACAGCAGATTGTGACTTGAATGACCCACTCAGAACTGAAGCTCTTAGGACTACAGAGTTGTATGCAGGCCCCAGCAGCAATGTGAATGATGTGAATGGGGAAAATACTGAAACGCCAAAAGGACCCGGAATCCCCTCAGAAGTTCGGTCACATTCAGTAGATTTGAGAGGTGAAACAGCTCTTGCCCTTGCAGAAAACAACATGAAAAAATCACCATCTGCAGCTCCACCAAATCAAAATGAAGCATTTTCATCTCCAAAAAAAGAATTAGAAAAAATGGGTAATGGGGTAAGGGAAGATTTAAAGTCTTTTTTATTGGCCATTTTAGAAATTATTAATCTTATACTTGAAATAATTTAATGCACATACATCAGCTTCTGTTGTCTAACTCTCTCCTTAATTCTGTATTTTGATACTCTATGTTGTAGCTTTGTTGTTGGGAGAACAGTACTTGTGAGACCAGATTTTGGCTCAACTTAGGTCAATGGGAATTTGCCCTTCATGTGCCATCACTATTGATTTCACTTAAACAAGGTTTTAGCCAATTCTGTATCGTTGGGGTTGTTTGCTATAATGAGAAAATGTACTTTGCGTTCATTTAATTCATACAACCAAACCCCAAACTGTTGGTTTGAAAGGGTGCATTGAAAGATAGTTGACTTGCCAGGCATTGTAGGAAAGGGAACACCAGTGGGTTTTTTTTCCTTGTTGTCAGCTTCACAGAGTCCTTCAGAGGAAGGCAGGCATGAATATTCCACGTTTATATACTTTCCCCAGAAATTCTGAATATCAAAGCCAGTTTGTTTGGAAGAGTCCTCATGAAAAGTCACCGATACTTGCAGCTGAACAGGTAACTTTAAAGAATCCAAAAAGTAAATGAATACTTTCTTTTTGTATCAGCAAAGGTGCTTACCTTCTGAGATTTCCTTTCTTCCACTTCTGTCAGGGGAATGACAAACATGAATATTGTTACATGTTTTTTTTTCCTCCTTAATATACAAAAGTACAGTATAATTAGATCTGTTTTCTTATTATTCTTTATTGTAGTCAGGCCTAGTTACTCGTTCTCCTTATGCCTCGTTGTGTTTTGTCCTTTATAATGGGACTGCTTTCTTCTTTTTGCATTAATTTGCCTTAGGAGCTCTAAGATCCTACTCAATGTTACCCTTCACTTTTACCATTTTTATGTTAGGTAGTATATAGCTAATAACAGAGGCATGTTCAGGTGTTCTGCATTACAACAACATGTCTTCAACTGAAATAATTCAGGTTTCACTATTTATTCTCATGGTCTTTTATGGGTTACCACAGTTTCTTACTCAGTCTCCATCTCTGTGTGTATATACTTCTGAGCCCTAAAGTGCATCTCTAGTGTTTTTTTCTTTCATAAGAGCCACTTATATTTAAAAGAGGAGTCTTCTCATTTTATGATACTTTTGTGGCACTTTAATATGTCTCATGAATTTTTGAACTTTGTAGGATTGGAAATGCTGCTATTTCTAATCAGACCACAAAGAGTAACTCTGGTTGTGAGACTGCTTTGTGTTTTCAATTCACTGTTACTGGGATCAGGATTTAGAAGAATCAGCCTGTTTTTTGGTCATTTTACAGTATGAAATAGGCACTTCTGCTTTTATTTTGTCTTCTGTTTCTTCACTAGGAGCATATACATTAGTGGGATTACTACAAATGGTGCACTTTCTTACACATTTCATTATTGATGTTTGTGAACATTGTGCTGTTTCAGAAGAAAGACTAAAATCCAAAAGAGCAAACTTTTTTCACAGCTTATACAGAATAAAAAGCTGGAAGAATAAGTCTGTAGGAACTGTAAATCATAGGATAAATAAAATTTAGAGAAAATCCTAACATGTGTGAATGTTTGGAGGTTCTAAATTTAAGGTTAGAATTTCATGATAAAAATTATACGTATTAACAAACTGATATTTGTTAGATTTTTGTTGATATAATGGAGAATATATCTGAATACTGAATAATGGCAGTACCTTTCCCTTGAAGAGATTCTGTGGAAATACTAAAGTTACCCAAGTTAGGTTGTAAGTCAGACCTAAAGTCTCATAGCAAAGCTGGGGAAAGCGTATGCTTGTGACATATGGCATGGCCTTTTAATTCAGCACCCCATGATAAGATGATACCTGACCACATATTAGGCAAATTCTCTACCTTGTTTTATAATACAGTATTGATTGGAAAATAGCGGGTAGCTCAAATTACCCAAGCCTTAAGCATCCAATTCTAAAACACAGAACAGCTGTTACTTATGGACTGCACATGTGCTTAAGACTCATAGGAAAGTTATGGCATATGCTTGAAAAAAATACGATCCTACATGAAACTGTGAAGGTGAACTGTCTTCCCAAATGAACAGAAAGTCTGTTGGTGCACTTCAGTAAGAACAACGTTTAACCACAGGTTTAACTGTGTCTGACTTGGTCACTTTTAAATGTGTTTTTATCAGATGTAGTTTGTTTTCAATTTGTCCTAGAAGTTAATTAGTCTGCACATGATGTATTCGTGCACAACTGTCTCTCTGCTCATATGTGAGTGTATTTGCATGAATTAGTTAACTGATTTTGAAAATTTAGCCTTAAGGTAAGCAAATCACACCTTTGTTTGTTTTCTTCCCTCCCAAGGTTATTTGCAACACAGGTAAAACTCCTGCAATTACTTCTGAAACTGCATGTGAGAGAAATTTCAAAAGCTCTCCTTCTGTTAATGGTCCACAAGAGAGAGGTGGTTCAGAAGAGAAAGGATTTCCGGTTTGTGAACAAGTAAATATTTCCCTAAAAGAAAGGCGTTAGTATACTTCTGTCATTTTGATTTGTTCTTTTCTAGAATGCAGGGGTGAGCTTATGTTGAATTTTTTAGTTACATTTTAGAGCTGGACTCAGTAGTGGTTTTGCTATAAAAGACTAAAAATAATAACCCTCTGCAGCTCTGTTTGCTCTTACGGGGTTTCTGTAGTGGTTTCTGTAGTTTCTGTAGTGCATTTGTTGAGTTTACAGTGACATTTTCAGTGTGTTTTTCCTGACACCTTAATTTATGAGCTTTCAGGTGGGTTTTCTTTTTCTCTCTTTTTTTTTTTTTAATTGAAACTTGCTTTTTAGTCATTAGAACAGTTTCTGAAATGTAAATCTCTGATTTGTACTCTTATTGGTACCACTTTAATCTCTTGGTATGCAGGAGGGCTGGATGGGGGGGGTCTGGAATTTTTTGGATCTCATAAATCAGACACAGTGTGAATAAAAACAAATATTTTGATGTATGAAAGATGCCACAGTTAGAACTGATTTTCAGCCCATAGTTGTAATTTGAAGAAACATAGAGGAAGCGTTAGGGTTCGTTTCCGTTTGCCTTGATAAGTTGAAAGGTAGAAAGGTAATTAATTGTATTTAGCACAAGGCTCTAACAGGACCTTGTGTAGCCTATGTAGGCTTTGTTACTCAGTTCAAAACATTAAAATATATTTTATGGAAGTAATATGGTTGTGTGAAGCCTTGCATTTCCTTGTCTTGCTGTTGGCTTGGATAGACTTCAGTGAGATTTTAGAAATGATGGGTCTGGCTGTTATACCAGATTCAAAGATAAAGATGATTGTTGACTGGGAGGCTTCATAATTTAAAATTGAGACCTGCCCAGTGCTTTAAATCTCACCTGGGAATAAGGAATTTTATGTCTCCTTTTACCTCTTTTAGAAGATGACATGAGGCTTTCAGGAAGCATTTCTGTGCTTTTAATACTGGAAATTCAGGTTACGTTTTCCCAAGAGAGCTAATAAAGGGAAGGAAGAGAATATATGAGAAGGGAATTTTGGTGGGAGTGTCTAAAACACTTCTTGTTTATACTGATAGCTGTATTCTGGTCTTGGAAAAGTTTTTGATAATTTTGGTGGGATGTTTCTCTTGTTGTTTTTTTTGTTTGTTTGTTTTTTGTTTTTTTCTTGAATCTGAACAATATCTGTGAAGATCTCTTGTAGAATCAGAATTCATGTGTGAGATTTCCGAGAGGATAAAATAGGCGAGGAAAAAAAACTATCTTTGATGTGAAAATTGAACAACTCAATTTGACCTTTTATAAATGAGAGTGACAGCAAATTAAAAATTTGGTTTATAATAAATTCCTTTATATTGCTTTGTTATTAAGCTAAGAGGTTTGGTGTTTAGGCTTGGGGTTTTTTTTATTACAAATTCCAGAAATATGTGTGTTAAGTCTTACACAGCTCAGGTTAGAATACACAGGTATTGTGTTATTTTATTTATGTGTTTTGTATTAAATTCATTTTGTAAAGTGTACAGAGGGGATCATCTAAGTAACTGAAAGTTGCAGTTAGGATCTTAGCTTTGGTGTTTTGCTAGTTTATGTTTGTATTAACAAAGGAATATAATATTCTTGGTTGTATTAAGTGTGCTAAGCATCTAACTAAAAATGTACTTTTTGTGAAAGCTGGATGTCAAAAGGAGTACAGGGGGATTCAGACTGATAGCTAATGTGGTATTTTTACAATTATCTTTGCCTTAGAGTAAGAGGGAAGAACCGTTTCAAAAGCCAGCAGAAGATGCAGCAAAACAAGGGAAATCAGAACAGAAACATCCTAAACAAAAAAATAAGCAGCATATCAATCCAAAGCCCCTCTCTTTACATTCAAGTCGTGGGTATGTATAAAATAGGAAAACTTAACCTAGTGACTAGTTGTACAGGAGCCTAGTACTTCGAGTGATGGATGAAACCATGCCATGCTGCAGTCGCAGGAGCAAATGCCCCCTCGCAGTGCTGGGATTGAGTTTCATGTGGGTACATCCAAACCTGTTGTTAATTTCCATCTTCTTCTCTGTGAAGTGGAAGTGGAAGCTTTCTAATCATACTCATTTAGTTGAACCTTCTGATGCAATAATGTTACTGTTAATGCATTTAACACGAATGACGTTAAATCATTGCAGTGCAGCTAAACTTTCAGTGAGTGCTTTGGAAGTTGTATTCACCTTTTAAACTGCTCTCCTGTGCTTGCTTCATGCCTTAAAACTGTGATGATTGTACTTGATGTCTGTTTTTTCTAGTCTGTATCACCATCTGTCCCGGAGTAACAAAAGCAACCACATGAGGTAAAGGGAAGTAGAGAAATTGGTCCCATTTAGGGTAATCTTGACAAGCATGGAGATGAAATTATATGTTACTGAGTGCTATTAAGGTATCTTCTTCTTTTGCCACATTCCTACATTGCAGTAACTGAACTTGTTTCCGTTTTCCACACATCTGAGATACACCGAGAGAAATAAAAGCCCAGAATGGATGCAGGTTTTAAAATCCATAAATTAATTCATTTCTTCTGCCTTTGTGCTTAATGTATGTCCCAGTGATTGCTTTTATTCACTTTCTGTTAGATTTTGGGCATTAGATTATACATGGAAGAGGAGACTTACCTAGGTCTGAATGCTGTTGGATATTGGGAGATAATTACAAAATAATCACTCAAAATTCTGTGAAAATTTCTCTGTGAAAGTTTTCATAAAATTTCTTCATGAAAAAATGAGTGGAGATAGTACGGTTAAAACCTGCGACTCTGGTTTTTATAGCTTTTTTATGTAGAAGATAATAGTTTTGCAGTGAGTAGTGTGTGAAGTTCTTGATATTTTGCTATGGCTCCTTTTCATTTAAGGACGGATTTCTGCCTCTTATGCCTTTGATGTGGTAGCACAAGACAAAAGTCTCCAAAACATTCACTGGGCAGATAGCTGTCAAAATGTACAAGTTCTCAGTATGCAGACAGGACTGTCACTTCTGATGCAAGCTGCATTGCATGGCCTGATTTTGCAGCAGAGTGACTGGCATCAAGACACAGCAGTGATGTGTTTTTGAGCTAATTCATTAGTTCTGCAACCAAAACTGAAGGAATTCTGTCAGTTTCAAAGAAAGGGACGTATTGAAAAAAATTTTGAACAAAAAGTGTTTGGGTATTTTTTTTATCAGTATATTTCATTTTATAAAGTGCATTTTACTCTCTGACTTCAGGCTTTTATGATCCATTTCTGAAGAAGGACTGAAAAAGAGGGTGTTTTCTCTCAGTGCTGAATATATTAAAGTTAGTAATGTTTTAAAGCAAGATTAAAAACAAAAATCTCTTCAGATTTAAGCTGATAAATTCTCAGTTCAGTGCTTAAAAACCTGAAGTATTGCTTATTGCCTGCTATAGGTTAGATGGTGTTAATTTTTCTTTGTATGTGTGTGGCAGAAAGGAAAATGGATCCATCTTTTCAAGTGCCGAGGCCTTCTGTAAATCAAAGCCAGTAAGACATGGATGAATTATACTGACCATTGTTCTGGTAGTCAGATGTTTCTAGCCCCAACAGTTCACCCCACCCATATGCAGACTGCCTTTAGAGTGGAGTTCATAGAAGGAAATGTCTCAGACCCATTAGTGCCAAACCAGGCATTTTTACTTAAATGCACTACCATCAGTGACTTAAACCAAAATGCTGCACTTTACATTCAAGAAATTGAGTCTTACGTGTATATTGTGTTGTGCTGATTTGGCTGTCAGGGCAAAAGCTTCTGACAGAAGGGCTGTGAGGAAAAAAAACAGGAAGAGTAACTACTTGAAGAGCCACCAACTGCGAAAGAGACTTTTTCCTCACTTTCCTAGTTGTGTTGTTATGGATGAGTTGGTGTTTTTCACATCTTAGCCCTGGCATGTAAGTGCAAGTATACTTATGATTGTTGGTATAACTTTAAGTGTGTTCTTAACGAGTATTCTGGATATCAAGCTTTATTCTTTCTGTTGTGTTTTCCTCTTCTCATTCTTGATTTCTTAGGAAGATGAACACTGAATATAGGGCAAAATTTCTGTCTCCAGCCCAGTATTTCTACAAAGATGGAGCTTGGTCTCGTATTAGGAGTAAATTTCCCAACCAGGTGAGTATTCTTAAAACACCTGCAGCCAGAGTATGATTTGTATTTTGATTTATAGATGCAAAAGTCTTTGAATTGTGGTGTTTGTAAGATGCAGTTTTGAGATCAGAATACTCCCAAAGGTGAGTATGCAAAGGCAATTAGGTTCTGTCAAGTCAGTATAATGTATGGTAAGAAAAAGAGGAGATGCTCTGACTTAAAGAATATATAAATGTGACATCTAAAGTGAGGAGGAGTTTTGATTCCCTTACAGTCAGAATCATTCAGAACAGAGTATTGGACCAGATAACATCAGCATTGATGTTGAGCCAGATTTTAAGAAGCAGAATTTTTCAAATTGTAGAATTGGATGTTAAGCGATTCCAAAGGAATAAAAGGAAAATGCCAGCATATGTATCAGCCTAGGTCAGGTTGATAGTCAGGCTCAGCTTGCCATGCTGAATCCATTCAAAGCAGTCAGCTGAATTCAGTCCTACACGATATCAGATTGAGAATTTCTCTTGCAAGTTTCAGTCAATATACATATTTTCTTGTAGATTGTTCCGTAACTGTGATCAGTGTTATATAAGAACTCCCTTGACAGAACTCTGAAAATGCTGATTGGCTTCAGGATTTCTTAGCAGTGTTATTGCACATGATTTCCTAAAAAATCAGTACTGTTAGCAGCCTGCTAAGAAACTGCTAGAGCTAGTTCTGCAACTGTTAGTTTTCACTGAATTGATTTAGGCTTCTCCCAGCTTATGGAGCCTTTATGAGATGCTGTGCTACTACCTGAAAGCATGAGTTTCCTTGTCAGCTGGGACCAAGCTGATGTGTAAGGTAGAACTGGAGCAGATGGCTCTATAGTGTTGGGCTTTGAGACTGAAAATAACATTTTCTGACAATTGCAGGAATAATGTAGCATTCAGTTCTGTGTTTCTCACTGGACTTAATTTAGCAAGTAAATTTCTTTTTAGACAAAAAAAAGTATATTTAATACATGCAAAATACTCAGTGCAAAATGGGTCTTAAGACTGTAGCGTAGTATGTGATGATTCATAATCAGATTTTGTGTATGCATGCAGAAGGTAATCCGTTCTGTGAAAACAGCCTCAAGATGATGTTGGAGGACTAAAAACAAGTGACATTTTTATTTTTTTTATATGTATTGCTGTATGGTTTGGGTTTGCTGTAATGAAGGCTGTAGAATATTCTGAACTATTGCATGCAGCCTGAGAAAGTGGTATGCAGTGTATTTCTGTAGAAGGTTATGTCATTTTTCTGGTATGTAAGACCTTAATTTGGAGACTGGCTGCTGTATCAGTAACATTCAAAACAGTCAGGAGCAGTGCTCAGCTTCAAGAGCAACTGACTAGTGAGCAAGTAAAGGGAAAGGGATGCATTGCCTTGGAATAGATTGTGGCACAGCCAGGTGGGAGGAGTCACTGCAGTATAGTCAAGGGAGAGAATGAGAAAACTGCAAGTAGACAATGGATGTTCTGCTTTACCAGGCATGATCCTTTATGGGTTGTGTTTCAGAGCTTTGCAGCATTTCAGAGATTTTCATTAGTTCCAAAGACTTTTGCAGCATTTAGAGTGTATGGGAAACCAGTAAATTATCACACTTTAGATAAGTGTTTAGGATGTGTCTGACTTTCCACAGAGGTTTTCTTGCTGACAAGGGAATTGCAGGAAACTGGAAACAAGTCACTTGGCAGTAGGCATGAACAATTAAAAAAAGAATTAAGATTTTAGGGCTTTCTGCTTGAAGTTGTGGTGGATAGCTGAAAGAGTCAAATTAATTTTAAGACTATAATAACAAGTATTTTATTGATGACACATGTGCTTAAATTACACATTTTTGATTACATACACATTTTTATGTATGCATGCCTACATTAGATCCTAATATGAGCTCATATAAAAGAGGCATTTTATAATTGGACAATCAGAATTTCTCCTGTCTGTTAGACTTGAAGTCCCATGCCTGTGAGCGTATGTTATGGTTTAACCCCAGTCAGCAGGCAGCCCCACACAGCCACTCACTTAGTCCCCTGTGTCAGGATGGTGGAGAGAATCGGGAGAGTAAAAGTGAGAAAACTCCTGGGTTAAGGCAGTTCAGTAGGTAAAGGAAAAAGCTTTTTGTGCAAGGAAAGCAAACCAAGGAATTCATTCATCACTTCCCATGGGCAGGCACGTGTTCGGCCATCTGCAGGAGAGTCAGGCTCCATCACACCTAGTGGTTACTTGGGAAGATGAGCACTGTTACTCCAAATGTCGCTTGCTTCTTCCCCCAACTTTATATGCTGAGCATGATGCCATATGGTGTGGAATGTCCCTTGGGTCAGTTGGGGTCAGCTGTACTGGCTGTGTCCCTCTCAGCTTCTTGTGCACCCGTATCCTGCTCGCTGGTGGGATAGGATGAGAAGTAGAAGAGGCCTTGACTCTGTGTGAGCACTGCTCAGCAATAGGGAAAACATTCCTGTGTTATCAACACTGTTTTCAGCACAAGTCTGAAACATAGCACCATAGGAGCTACTATAAGGAATTTTACCTTATCTCAGCCAAAACCAGTACAGCTTATCAAACTAGTTTTGCTAGTAGACAAAGAATAGTATTTAGCTTGTGTAAATGTGTTACTGTGTGGGACTTTTTTTCTGTATGGAGTTTTTTGAATTTGCTATTGTTAATATTTTCATATGTATGATTGATGGTTATAGTTCTTAATAAGAAGCTTTTTGTGGGAGTAGTGAAAGCAAGGAGCAAGGTTAAGGCTTGGAATTTTCTGGTCTTCAGGAGAGGTTGGAAGAAAACCAGGGTTGCTTCTTAAAACCTCTAATACAAGAATAAAAATCCTGATAGACCCAATTCTTGGCCAGGCTTTCTTTTTTTTGTTTGCAGCATCCATCAATACTTTTGTTCTAAAAACTACAAGATGGCATCAAGTATGGCTAAAATAGTAGGTCTGAATAAAATACTTCATTCACAGTTGAGACATAAGAAGGAATCCAGCCAGTTAAGAAATATGTTAACATCAGATTAATAAAAGTCTTCATAACTTGAAAAAAAGTGTCAAGTGCATCAGTTTTATTATAAAGCAACAAAAGTACTTCAGCCATTTGTGGTATAGGCTGCCCAACAGTCCTTTTGGTTTCTACATGATTCCATACCTATTCCCATACTAGTGCATTGACATGAAATGTTCCTCAAAACTGTATCTAGCCTCAACATTTGGTGGGTTCTTAACATTCACCCCTTGCCAAAGGAGCCTACAGAACAACTCTCGCTTGATGTTAAGTGGTTATTAGATGATAAGCTCTGACTGATCCAATCTGTTTGCTCTCTTAGTTGGGAGCACACATGGTAACTTTGGGTGCAAAGCAAACTTTCTTAAGTTCTGATCCCAAACAGGCAAATCGTAGAAAGGTTTGGGTTGGAAGGGACTTTAAGGGTTATCCAGTTCCAACCCCTCTGCCACAGGCAGGGTCACCTTCCACTAGACCAGGTTGCTCAGAGCCCTGTGCATCCTGGCCTTGAACACTGCCAGGGATGAGCAGCCACAGCTTCTCTGGGCATCCTGTGCCAGTGTCTCACCACCCTCACAGAGAAGAATTTCTTTCTAATATGTCACCTAATTCTCCCCTCTGTCACCTTAAAGCCATTCGCCCTTGTCTTGTCCCTGTGTGACCTTGTTGAAAGTCCCTCTCTGGATTTCTCTCCAAGTCCTGAAAGGCTGCTAGAAGGTACCTGGAGCCTTGTCTTCTCCAGGCTGAACTACCCCAGCTCTCTCAGCGTGTCTTCATAGGAGAGGTGCACCAGCCCTCTGATTTTCTTCATGGCCCTCCTCTGGACTTGCTCCAGCAGGTACATAATAATACTGATTATTACCATACCGTAATAGAATCCTGGTATGACCTTAGTTAGGCATAGCTATTACTCCTAGACTGCTACTCTACAATATATTATTAAGGGCTGCTTTCCAGCAGTTGAATGAAGAAATTGCTTTAAGTTATGGTTTTGAAAAATTAATGTGGGCAATTCATAATCACAGGGGGCTCTGGGGCCAGTGTCCTTCTGAGATAATGCTGCCCCTGAGTCACTGGAGGAGATGGTTGTCCTTTGTACTTCTTCACAATTCACTGGAGACATAGTATTCTTCCCCTCCCTGCAGTGTCCTGTTGCTCTGGATTTATATTCCTTCTGTTGTGGCTATCATAATTAATTTTTCATTCTTCTACTTCAAGTGAATAATCCAGTAAATCACTTGCACCTCTAACTTTAAATTCGCCTCTTAAAGTGACAAGCATATATTTTTAATGGGCTGTTTTTTGGAAGCTTCTCAGGTTGAATTATGGGATGTTAGCTGGTGTGGGCTAAGTGGATTTCTGTCTGCTGCATCCAGTTTCTTTTAGTGGGTTTAGTGGAATTGGGCCCAACTGTTCCTTGCAGGAAGAACAATGTGAAGTCTATTATAAAAGAAGAATAAATAAGAAGAGCTATAAAAATGTGTTAGAGGAAGTGTCAGTACTACTTTCCTGCTCTTTGATAAAATGCTTCCTGTGAACCATTTTTTAGTGAGCCAGAATTCACACAGTATCACAAAGTTATTTTTAATAATTTAAACGTAAAAGTTTTGTTGCTTTTTCTTCCTTCACTTTAATTGTGTTTGGGTGAAAGACAGAAGACAGTGTGAGTGTTTAAGTAGTTTTAACCATAAAAGTGATTGCGTATAATTAGGAGTATAATGTCTGGAGAGCTTCACTTTTATTTTTTTAAGACTAAACCTGACATCTGAAGAGTTTTGTGTGTCATTCTTAGTTACTGATAGTCTAGAAGGGAAATGTTGATATTATGTCTTAGATAAAATAGCACCAAGAATTCTCATCAGCTCCTGGCTGAGCTAAGATTAATGTAGCTAGAGACAGTTGCAATGTTCACAGCATAGAAACTTAGCATTGCACATGCACATAGACCTGTTGACTTGAAATAATCATAAACTAGCGGTGAATGTATTTTTACGTGTTAATGCTTAGAAATCTAGATGAATTTCATCCAGGTTGGCAAAAACTGTTGAAACACCAGTACTGATGTATTTGTTTTACAGCTTTTTACTGAATCTCAGGGAGGCAGCATAGAGCTATGCTGATAGGTTTTTTTATTTAATTTCTTACTTAGATTGAAGTAAAGTTACAAGAATTGTAACAACAATACAGTGTTGAGAGAAAAATAAGAAATTTTAAAATTATTCTGTATTCTCTTTAGGCTTCTCAAAACACCCTAAATTCCATGTGGTATATGGAGGTTGGTTCCATCTATGTCCCTGTTTTTGATGTTTGGAGCACTGTGTCTGACGGGAAGATTAGAATTCAGCACAAAACTTATTTGTAGTGGCTGCGTAACTTTTTGTGCTCTTTGAATGAATAATTGACAATTTTGCTTTGGCAACATGGCTCAAACATGCTTACTAAATACACCCTTTTGTTGTGTTTGCTTTCTCTTTGTTGCATTTACTGCAGCATGCAATGGTTGTACTGTGAATGGCTCTGTATTATAAGTAATTTGCTTTTCTCCTGTAGCTGCTATTAGCTAATGCAAATATAATAGCCTGTTGGTGAACTTTAAACAAACATGCAACTTATGAAGCCTTGATGTGTAGGTGAAAGAACTTCGAGAAAGAGCAAAGGCATACAGGCAACGAGTGGAGGGAACTCACTTCTCCCGAGACCATCTCAATCAGATCCTGTCTGATAATAACAGTCTTTGGGATGTGTCCTCAAATTCCAGTTCAGAAGAAGGCATCAGCAACAACATCAGAGCACTAGATCTTGCTGGGTAAGGTTGTTATTTATGCCTATTATAGTGAAGCTTTGAAATGGAGCAAAATGATGAATATCAGCATAGCTGAGAGAGCTTGGATGTTTGACTGGAGTCAAGATGTGATAGGGCAGGGTGCTCAGTAATCTCATCTAGGCCCCCTTTCCCCAGAGGCTGGACTAGATGGTGTTAAGAAGACCCTTCAAACCTGGCTGTTCTACAATTCTGGGATATGTAAATTCTCTAGAACAGATGCAGGCGTTTACCTTTTCATAGATATATCAGTCGATACGTACTCAAGTGGAAAATGGGGTACAGTCCAGTCTTCTGAAAGGAGAGAAGGTTGCTCCTTTATAATTCTCCACAAATGCATATTTAGTGTGGCAACCTTAGTCTGTCTCATCAAGTCCGGAGGAATTTCCCACTGACTCATACGGAAGTAATGCTATTCTTTCCGCTGGAATGGTATGAAGTATGTTTTGCCTATTGAGATGTTACCAGTGTTCTTGTCAGGATTAATTAATCTTGTGGTTGAGTCTTAGAAACTGTTTAGTTCCAAGATGAAGTTTTAGGAACTGGAATGGTGTACATCCATTTTCTCCTTCCTTGGAAGGCCATCAGAATTGGCCGATACTGCTAGGAAAATTCAGAATTGGTATTTTAATAAAATGTACAGACTATTGTTGAAGGAAGGAGGACAAGAAAAAGCCATTTTTGTCTTATTTGAGATCTGATATTTAAAACCGTGCCTTGGATGCCTGTGTCTGTAGACCACTTTCACTGCCGTGCATGCACTACTTGTCTTCTGTGTGAGAGATCTACCCATTGGCATGCCCTAATAAGGTTGGGGGATTACATGTAAAAGGGTATTTATTACACTATGTGTGATACTAAGTATGGTGTAATTTTTTTTGTCTATCAGTTTGGTTTTTTGCCTGTGAAATGCAGATCCTCTTGCTGATCTCATTTCTGTGCACTGGGCTAATTTGCACTGATTTCTGTGAGCAGTTAAGAATTTAACACTTTCAAAAAGTTGTGCCTAGAGAGGAGTCTTCTAAACTGTTTTCCTTTCAAAAATGTGCTATCAGCTGTCCCTTTATACTGAACTTTTTTTTTTTTTGAGCACTTCTGATAATCTAACTTGTTGTTTAAATTGGAAATAGAGCCCTAATTTTACATTACATTTTTTTGAAATGATAATCCAGAAAGAATTTTCACAGAATCTAGTTTGAAGATGGATTGTGCTTAAACATCAGTTAGAACTTCAGTGGAAATTTAACCATTCATCATGTCAACTATACTACTTTTTAATATCTGAGATATACTTTTGGCAGAAAGGCTGAACTGGATAAATGTGTTCTACATAGACATGTGTATATCATGCAAATAGACGTGTATATCATGCAAATCAACGGTATGAAACACTGTGTTCTTTGTTACCTAGAGTTTCTGAAAAGGAGACTTCACCAAGCCCACAAATGCAGCAGCAGCCTGACTCAAGGAAACAGCCACACCAGGACAGCGCTGAGACAAAAGATATGTCAGATGCTGTAACTGTTCCGGTCCAAAGGCGTTTAGTTTGGGGTGAGCAAGAAGAAACTGAAGAAAGGGAGAATCGGCAATCAACAGAAGAGGGAGAAAAAGAAGATGAACAAGCAGCAGTTTTGGCTCAGCAGTTAGAAGAAAACAATAAAAATGCCAATGAAGACAAGAAAATAGAAGGGTAACAGTGAACATTTTTGTGATGTATATACAGACTCTCTTCCTCTAACATCTCAGAAATTTTCAGGTTAACTAATTTTTGGTTTAAAATCAGATTTACTTAAGAGAGCATAAGTTGGTGTGACATTACTTTTGTTTTTAACAGTATGATAAGAAATGGGAAAGTCCAAGGCATTGAGCTGGTTGATGAGAGTGGATTGATCATTACGAATAGGGAATTTCTAACTTGCAGGACAGAAGTTTGTAGAAGCAAACAGTTCTAATGTTTTGGGGGTTTTCTTCCAAAACTATAAAATTTGCAATATGGGCTTCTTAGGCTGTTCATTACACAGCAGCCAAGTGTCCTGAAAATTAAAGCTTACTATTTCCTTCAGACAGGCCATGTGGGATTGATAGGACTGAAAAGATAGAATACATGCTAGTCTTGTACTTAAGCATCTGTTTTTCTTAAACCTTTCCCACTCCCCAGAAAAAAACAAACCAAATCCCAACCAAGCTGGTTGGCCATGCAGAGCAGCTTAACCCCTGCAAGTTATCTAAGTCTGCTTGAGAGCTAGAAATGAGGCATTCTTTGCCTAAATGTCCTCAGAGTGTGTCTAGCATGCAGCCATAGGTTCAGGTTACTTGCACAGTGTGAGTATGCTCCCACCTCCTTTTGAAATGTGTCTGGAGAAAGAAGACAGAAGTGGTACTGCTGATTTAATTAATAACCTGGGGGCTAAAGCAGTCGCATAAATGTGGGATACTTGGTTTCAGTTCTACCACATTGACTGAAAAGAGTCAAACCCATATTCCCCCCTCTGAGGTGGCAACTGGGTTCTAAGATTTTCTGGGTGAGTGCTCTTTCCAGCTCTCCTGTTGAGTCTGCTACTGTGTAGCAATACACTCAAGGTTTATTGGGATAGAGGGAGCCTGTACTTGCAGCTTGAGACAATTTATATATGTTACCCAGTTACATAAAAAAAAAAATGACATAAACTAAGACTGAGGGGTGGAATCCAGGACTTCCCGTTGCAAGCAGATGTTTTGGCTACAGGCTCTTGGTGTTTTATGACCCTAACTGTCTTGCCCTAGGCTTCATTGTAGGAATGTATTAGAAACAAAAAGCTCAAGTGCAAGACTCTTGAGTCCTTAGCTAATCCTTTAATCATTTCTCTTTTTTTTCCAGTGAGAATGCCTTAGTATTGAATTCTTCTGCAGCTGTGTCAGATTCTTCTTCTGTATCCTCAAGGACAGGAGGCAGGCTTCCAACCCCGAAGCTGAGAGCGCTTGGTGGAGCTCAGAGGACTCATCATGATCTCACTACCCCAGTTGTTGGTAAAAAGTCTTTTAAATGCAAAGTAATATTTCAAGAATTAAAGGGGGAAAAAAAAGAAGACATGTATGAATTAGTTTATTAGGTTATTTAAGCTCATAAAGCATTTTTCATTTTCTCCACTGCAACAGGAGGTGCGGTTCTAGTGTCTCCTCCTAAATTCAAGTCTTCATCTTCACAGCAGAGAACACGAGGTTTAGGAGCAGACCCTTCTTCAGCTAAGCAAGGTGCAAGAGAAGCTTCAAAAAGAAGGTCCTTCCGGGTGAGCCACAAAAGAGACTTAGAGTTCTACATTTTGGAATGTGCTTTCTAATTAATAGCAAATAATTTATTTAATATGTTATTTAATATTTTTTTTTCTTCAGTTGTCATCTACTAGTCTAAAAAAAATCAGCATCTGTGACTAAAAAAGGCTGATGTCTGACTGAAGAATTTATTGGGGGGCATCAGGCAAAGGAGTTGAGGCTATTGGAGTAAGATTGGATGAGCTCCATTTTGTTTTTTTCTGCTACATGCACAGGATCTATTAAAAAACCCCCAAACAAAACAAAATAACCCAAAACAAAAACACAGCCCTCCCGCAACAAAATACACACACAAAAAACCAAACCCAAACAAAAAAAAAAAAACAACCGCCACATTAAAGTTACTGACATAGGGCACGGTCCAGATTCCTTGACTTGAAAGAAATTCAAAAGGGGTTAGGTGCCTGTGTACAACATGTGCCAGAATAGCTTCATTCTTGCTTTCCTTTACTTCTGTGCTTCTTTTACTTTGCAGCTTGCATTGTTGATAAAAGAAAAATAGAAACATTTAGGAGTTGTTTAACTGTCTTCCTCTCAAAATTGTGGGTTGGTTGGTTGGTTGTTTTTTTTTTTTTTAGGTCAAGTTGTGCTTAGTCTGTGTTCTACAAAGACAGCGAGCATTTTGCTGCATACATCCCTGTAGCATGTTTTGTGATAGAAGCAAGTTTGTGATAGAAGAAGTTTGGTTTTGGGGTGGTTTTTTTTAATTATTTTCTTTCTATTGTGTTTTAGCCTGATGCGGAAGTGGAAGCTGTGCCACTCCTTACCTCTCCACCTGCTGGGCTGGGAACTTTGGATCCTCTGCCACTTAGACAGGATCAGTGGCCTCCTAACAGGGTTTCTGATCAGCAAGCTCCTTTTGCTTCAGCCCATCAAGGGTGTTCCTCTACACCTCGTGTGCAGAAGTCAGCCAAAAGCTGTTCTATGCCTTGCTGGAGTCCTTCTTGTCGTATTCAAGGGACTCTCAAAGATCCAGAATTCCAGCATAATGGTGGGTTTGGGGTATTAACTGACTATGTTAGAGTGCTGCAGGATAGGAATGGCTACAGTGCAATGCTCGGGCCAAGAGAGTGCTGAGATTGCTGACTTACACTCTACGAAGAATGTGTTGCTTGTAAACAAAAGCTCTTCTATTACATGTTTAGTCTTGCTGTGGAAATGTGTACAACTTTCCACATTAGTTTCAGATTCCATTAATATCATTGTATTCTAGTGGTCTGTTTTCTAATTTTGCCTTATTATTTTTAATAAGTACTTACTCATTATGAGAATTAATTTGGTTTAGCATGAACAGTTGTAGTTTTTAATCTTTTTATGCTGCAACTAGATGCTGTGATGCTTTTCCACCTGCAGTTATCAACAGCAGAATGTAACTGGGTACCTTTATGGTATAGTGTTATTTTGCAGGAGTTGCGGATATCTGAGAGATAAGCTCCTTAAATATTTCTGCAGCGTATGGAAACAAAAAAGCCATCTATAGATGATTTATTGGGTATTGAGAGAAACCTTTTCTTGGCTGAGGAGGGATTTGTGCTGGCACAATTCAGAGATCTTAAACAATGTTTAGGGTCACTGGGGACATGACAAATAAAAGAATCCTTCACTTCTTAGTCAAAATAAAGTTTATGTGCTTGACTCCATTCCAGAAAGACTTTCTAGAGCTGCTTAAGGTCCCACAATTTTCAATCCTCACATTATAAGGATTAGCTAAACTAAAGTAGTATTTCTGCTCTAGAATGGAATGAGTAGTTGTCAGGTTAAATGGGATGGTGAAATCCAGAGACCTTCCTCAGAAGGAGGTTAGAATTGGTCCTATGTTCTAGCTCTGCACCTCAAGTTCACTAAGTGAAAGTCACTAAGTAACTTGTAGTATCTACACAAAGATAGGTACCTTGAGAAAAATACAGTAGAATAAGTTTATTTTATCTCAGTTTAAAGAAGTATAGTGGAGGTTTTTGTATGTTTTCTATTTATAAGACTCATGTTTTGGAAATAATGTTGCAACATTTTTAAATGTTGTAAAATGAAATATTATCCTTTGTCTATTTTGAAAGGATTAAAAACTATTCCTTTGATATTTTTCTTTTTCTTTTCTTTTTCTTTTTTTTTTTTTTAATCTTAGGGAATGTTGGCAATCCAAAAATGAGATCATTCCAGTTACCCCTTCAGGAAAGAAACTATAAGGATGAAGGTATTTCTTGTCCCGAAGTATTATTGTATATCATGTGTATATTACCTAGAGTGATTTTAACTTTTGCACTAATGTGAGAGGTTTCTGAATGCAGTAATTCATACTGGTTTATGTGTTTGCATGAATATCTACTGCATTGTATTATATTTCATCAAAATAATTTGAGAGTGTTCATCCGAATAATCTGAAGCAGGAATATGAAAGTATAAATGCGACCAAAAATTAAATAGACCATTGTGACTCAATACGGTTACTGGAGCTTTTTCAGTTCCCCACCTAAAATTGTTTCTTCCCGCACGTTTTTAAGCCTTTGTGTAATAGCAACAGAAGCAAACTGCAAAATGCTCACAGCTGCAGTAACTTTGGATGCAACTTAAAAGGTACCACAAATTTTAAGATAAAGATTTTGTTTGTAAGACTTCAGCACCAGATAGGCAGCATAAAATGATTCCTCTGACTTGAATTTTCACAGCTGTTCCTCTGCTCAGACTGTTAGGGGTACTTATGGCATCCTGTTATTCTGATTGCTGTTTTGGCCTTTTTTTCTCTTTACTGTAAACTTTATCTGGAGGAGCAGCCAGTGCACAGCCCACCAGTACATCTTGGCCTTTTTGTGGGCAGACATAAAGTGTTTCAGTAGTGTGAGTCAACTAAAGGCACTGTAGCCTCATTAGCTTGAACTACTGCTGTATATTGTTTCTTAGCATGGTGTATGAGGTTGAGATTGGTGTGGTGCTGTGCTAGTCGCAATCACCTGTGTTTGGTTTAGATTAGAGTAGGGGCAGAGCAAGTTCGCAAGTTCCTATCTGAATACAGTTTATTTATAAATACACCCCAAGGCAACCAGAAGCTTTTTTCTGTAGCCCTTATGCTTGTTTGCTCCTTGGTTTTAACCAAGGTTCAGAGTGATTCTCTATTTTACTCATTGCAGTTGTCTGGAAAACATGTGGGTTGTGCAGATGGCTCAGCCAAGCATCTGTGTGTCTACATAAACCATACAAAATCCTATAGTACTCTGCAGCTTCCCACAAGCTTGCTGCACACAGGCTAAATGCTGTAACTGCTGTTTCTTTTTTTTAATTTTTTTATCTTTGAGCTGAGTGGTGATGTATAAGCTTTCAGAAACAGGTGAAGTGTGCCAGCTCACAGATATTTCATATGTCCATATTTGTTCATGTACATACAAACCTGGGAGTTATTCCAACGACATGTCTATCTGCAGAAGTGCAGTTAGTGGTTTTCTCATACATGGGAATATAGTTGTTATGCACAGTGTGTGAGCCTGTTATGGGCTGCTTGGATCACTGTATTTCAAGAATTTACAAATGCTGCTGCAAAGTTAATTGAAACACTGGCAAAGTACAGGTTCTGTTTGGGTCGAGTTGTGGAAATTTGTTTTGTTTTCCCCTAGGGAGGGCAGGAAAGAGTGATACAGTCCTTTTTAACCTAGTGCTGGAGAATGGGTGTAATTAAGGTCATTGTTCATAGAGGGCATTTCTGCAGTAGCATAATGTGATGCTTTATCAGAGAAGCAGCATCTAGGCTGCTTAATTTTAAGAGTTCTGCTGGATGAAAGTAGTCCCTGTATTCCAAAGGAAGACCTTTCAAAAGTACAATTTTAAAACATGCTTCTTGTTGTCTTTGTATTAAATTTCCTGTTTTCTTCATAAGACACATTTCTTTTAACAGCTTGTGGTGCACTAGCTGGGTTTGGTACAGAAGAGCTCTTTTGGCAGCATAGGTTATGGTATTTAGTCATGTGTTATTCTAAGGTTGTCTGCTTTGCTTGAAGCAGTGGGTTACTTTCATGAAAGTGTTATTATCAGAGGCTAGGCTATACAGACTTCAGTGGCAGAGGAACAATATCTGAGATCTTCTGATGCAGGAAAGTAAATGCAGAGGTGACTTGGAGAATCTGGCAATTCCCAGGTGACCATAGGGATCTCATTATAGAGTTTGTCAAGAGCTGGGCATGTAGCTATGTTAAACTTACCTAGCATTGTAATAGTTTTCTAGTGAGATTCTTCTCCAGCATGTCAGTTACTAAGTAATAAAATTGAGGTGCATTGTGGTACTATTTTAGCACCCATGGTGAAAGAGGGCATAAAAATATTTGTACTTCTGACGTCTGCCATGAGTGTCAACTGTGTTTTAATAGGTATATTTAATCTTCCTATTTACTTTTCCCCTTGTTGCTTTCCTTACAGATGACAGATTGTCTCAGATCTCTGCTCGCTCGGCAGCATCTAGCTCACTTGCATCTCAGATACTGGAACGAGCTCAGAAGAGGAAAGATTTCTGGGGCAAGACATAATCTCTCCCACCTGTTGTATAGAAACTGTTCTGTAAAATGATTTATTTTTTTATAGTTTGTAGTGTACATTTTTAAAAAATTGTGATTGTAGATACCATGCAGCGTCCTTTCACTTAGCACTAATGTGGCCCAAGTTTTAGGACTTGCCATCCCTATTTAAACCAGTGTTGAAAATGTAGGTCCTTTATATCTGAGAGTTACATTTTCACTATGACACAACAGCCATGTGGTTTGGGTTTTGTTTTTTTTTGTTTGTTTGTTTGTTTTTTTTTACGGTGGCACCTCTTGAAACCAAGATAATTATTTTTTTTTAATGCAACCCGTGTGTAGCTTGCCAAGTTCTTCTGCTGCAGTCATGCAGTATGACCTGAGGGCAGTATTTAGGGGCAACACCATCATTCGACGCCTCAATTACTTGATATTAATCAGCTGTCTTAAAGGCAATTGTGGTATATTTATTTATGTTACTATATGAATTGTCAGTACAAGACAGTGCTGTAACAAAAAGTTGCTTTTGCTGCTTACAGCTTTTAACCTGTTACCAAAAAAATCCTTTTTTCTTAATGAAGCTAATATGGAACATACAAGAGTTTGTGAAAAGGACACAAAGTGTTAGGGTTTGTTTGCTGTCCAGTTTTTTCTGCCAGGATGACTATTAGAGTTGAGTTTGTCAGAGTACTTACGTGAACATTTGTCTTTTTTGTGGAAAAGATCCTTGTTTAGTGCTGATTTAAACTTCTCTAGAAAAAGCAACCTTATGCAGTGGCCTTCCCCAGCCCCACTTCAAACTCAGGTATTTAAGAGTAGTTGATCTCTTAAAGTAAATTCAAAGGAATGCTTTTGTTTTTCCTGACTTTGATGTTTTAATTACCTCTTCTAGTTGCCTGTTTCTGGGAGACTGACATACTGTTGTGACTGTCACAGTTAAAAGTATGATTTATGCTGACAGCTTGTTTTATCTTTCTAAGAGATGAAGCAAGTTAACTTGAAGTAGAGGAAATAGGTGGCTAGCAGCTAGTTTAGTTCTTCTTGTGTAGCTTCAAGTGTTAATATTACTTCATTTGGAAATTTTATACAAGAACAACTTGAATTTTGTACACATTTACTTACATTTTGATTTTGTATACAATTATGTATGCATATTACTGAAAATAAAAATGGTTGATTTGTTTCTAGTCAAGTTATGCTGGATAAATTTGTGGAACATACTGTGTTGGCACTTCTGTGTTCAGTTCTCTGTTTTACCTGTTCAGCTGGAATATTTGTGGACTTTTGAAAGACAAGAAGCTACCCCATTTCCGGTTTTCAGAAAGTTACTAAAGCTAGATATGTTGATACTTGGAATTATGATTGGCTACAGATACTTGTCCTAGATATTACAACAGCATATATGCCGATTTTGCTTACAGTATTGCAGCATGAATCTGGTGCATCCGGGTAGCTCTGAGTTTGTTGGATGTGTGCTGTATGGGATGTGCATATTGATTTCTGCCAGGGAGACAATAGGTGTGGTAAAGGGTGATAATTTTTGTTGCATGGGGATACAAACTCCATTTAGAGATAAAAATGGAAGCCCTTGGTGTCTTATACATCATTGTGACATTATTTCTCATCTGAACAAATCTTATCTTTTACCTGAAATTTGTAATTGAATTTACTTTTGGAAAGAAGTATTTAAGGCAAATGTAGACAAAATATCATTTTTGAGTAATGCTAGTGCAAAGCTTCTGAAGGATGTTCTTCTGTAGCCTTCAAGGCAGATGTAAAATGATTTATGCCTGCCTTCTGCTATTGTTGTTACCTAGTTCAAGAGGGGGTTTTGTTTTATTCAGACCAATCTTCAAACATGTTTCCTGTTGTGTTTTCCAGCAAGCTGAACATGGAGAAAAGGTTCAAAAGTGCACCCTTTATTAATAATTACAAGTGCGTGCTGTGTAGTGAATGTGTTTTGTTTTCTGTCAAGGAAATCTTAGAAGCCTTCAAGTGGAGAGACAAAGTGGATAAATAAGGAGGAAGGCAATTGCCAGTAGGAGATATATCTAAGGAATAAACAGCTTTGGGAGCTTGTCAACTTCAGGTCAAGTTTTACATGTTCCCAGCCCGTAAGTGTTGAATTATATGTCTTCAGCTGCTGTTCCCAAGTTGGGTATCCTTGCTTGGTGAATCTCGCTGCTGGAGGTTCACAGCTCTCAACCACCTTTGCAAGTAAATAAGCTGGTTCTTCCTCACTGACCACTGCCAGCTGGTGAAAGGCTTTCCTTTACTCAGTTTTCCTGCCAATGAAGCATTCCCCCAGCAAGGCCACAAAGAGCAGACTTGATTCCAGTCACTTCTCAAAAAGTTTCCGTCTTGCTAGATAATAAGGCTGTTGGCTGGCTGTAGGAATGAGGAGTGAGCTCTTGGTATCTACTTAATCTTGATAAAAATGGTTGTTAGCCTAGGGGTTAGAACAAAGATCTTCCTATTCCTGAAGCTGTGCTCATTCTGGCATCTTCCTCCTCTTCTCTGTGGCCAAATCACTTAGGGTGGAATGACCTCATCAGGAGGGGTGAAGCACCTCTCTCAGCAGTTACGCAGTTACTCTGGAGAGGTTTGGATGACTCTGGGCATGAGGAGAGTTTTTAGGATTTAGCTAAATGCCGACAATAGCAGCAAGGTAGTATTCAGGCACTTGCATCCTTTTATGGCTCTGGGCTTTAATTTCTTTCCAGAGTCTCAGTTTCCAGTGACTTTCGTGGTGCATCAGCGTTCTCTACTTGAAATAGTTGAAAATACTCCTAACCCCCTGGGTTGAACAGTTGGAGAAGAATCAGTTGGGGCTTTCTAGCTCTGCAGGGAAGTTTTGAGGGAACATCTGGGATTGTGGATAATCCCGTTCAATTAAAAAAAGATCTGCTAAAATGCCTTAGTTTTGCAATAATATTTTGTTGTTAATTTCAAATTTTAACACCTTAACCAATGTGAGTTCTGAAACATAATGTGAGGTATGTAAATGTCGTTAACCTTACAAATGTAAGCTGTCTCTTTAGCCATCAGAGCTAGATTGCTTGTAAGGAAGGGGTAGGCAACAAGGCATGTTTTTGTCACATACAATCTGGATTAAGTCCCAAGGCTGCTCAGTACTCTTAAGTCATTATAGGTGTGTTGTGTAGGGATTTTTCAGCCTTTTTCAAGGAACAGATCCATACGTCTTCTGTATTACTCATGGATCCCTATGTAGTGAGTAACAACTGAAACTTATCACTCCTGAAAACAGGTTTGCCTTCACCAATGCCTTGCAGGGCGCCCAGGTTGCCCCTGGACCTAGGGGCCACAGCCTGAAACCCCAGTGTGTGTTGCAGAAAGATGAAAGGAAGTGAAATTACTTACCAGCTACCAGCATTCTCCTTCACTCATAAATTCTTCAAGTCCAGGTACTAAGTTGTTTTTCTTATTTGACTCTTGGTGTCATTGCTTTCTGGCAGTTAGTGGAAGAAAAAGGAATTTCCAGGTACTATCAGCAATACTCTATGAGCAAATTTGTAGTACTTGAAGATGGGGCAGGAAACAGAGCTGCTTTGACCAATTTAGTGTGTACTATTTGCATAATACCATATTGCTTCATTATGTCTGGCCGTTCTTGCAAGGCTGAGCTGCCACCTCATGTTCTGGTATCTGAGCAATTCTTACCATCTGGTAAATTTGTCAGTAAAGAGCCCCATTACCATCTGATGCAAGTGGAAGCTTTGCTATGCTCTTGTTGACCAATTTTTAGTGTAGCCTGAAGGGAAATTGTTCCATTACTCAGATGCACACAAATGTGTGATAAAGAAAACAAGCTGAATAGTAATTTTCATTTGAAGTGACCTAAATCAATGTCCTAATTCCAGCAGTTACTCAAACCTGTGCAGACAGGAACCGTGGGAGGAGAGGGAAGGATGATAGAGCTGTGATTAAATCTTTGGGCACAGACAGTTCTTCGTCTTTGCACTGAAATCCTGTGGGAATGTGCTAACCACATAGCAGTGATCACACTGAAAGCAAAACCTGAAGAGTGGACAGTGGGTGGTAGCTAACCAGAAAACTCCAGTGTCATAGAAATCCAAGTTGTGTTTTGCTTTTTTATCTGAGTCTAATATTGTGTTGAAGAAGGATGTGTGGAGTTCCATGTTAAAATGTGAATGAGCTTCCTTGATATTCTGGTATTTACTACAGTTTATCTGTGTTGGAGGTGAGCTGACCTTGCGATGTTTCAGTTTTGTGGCTATGTTCTAGAGAAACGCATGGAGAGCGGCTGACCCCTGCCTAGCGGATTTGACCGTGGAGTGCCAAATGTACTGCATGTGGGAAGAGTTCTGAGAAACTCCAAAGGACAGCACTTGGTGGTCCTGCAGCATCTGGTTAGGGTGGAACACTGAGAACTGCAGAAGACTTACCTGGAGACTTTCGGGAAGGGGAGTAGGGCCTGATAATGTTTACAGTTTACACACCTTTTGTTAGATGGTTTATTCCATTCATGGGGTTGGATTAAAATTGTAAGAGCTTTTGAACTCATTTGTGGGGAGGAGCTTGATCTTTGCAGGGACAGTTTGGTGGTACAGTTGTGACAGCAAATCCTCCTTAGTGCAGACAGTTCTGCAGTGGAGGGGAAAAAGGCAAGTGAAGCTTCTTACTTTCTGCTTTCCTCAGAGGTCTTGATAAAGTCTGCTGGTAAAGTATATGTCAGCTTTGTAAATGTGACTAATTTGTATTTATGGCAGTTCACCTTTCCTGAGGTAACTAAGGCAGTGACCTGTGAAGGCCTCAATGCTTTTCCTTTTAACTGAGTTTATATCTTATACACACACATGTTGTGTCTCTTCATTTGGTATAAAAATATTTTCTTTTTGCTCAAGGTGACTTTAATACTGTCATGTGCTGGGTTGTCTCCAAAGTACCTACTTTTAAGACCTGAAGTAAAAGAGGAATGGCTGATAGGATCCAGAAAATCCATACTTCTGGATTTCTCCTTACATCTCTGGTTGCTGGGTTGGTGTGACACACATATAACAGGCGTCTGCTGATGCATGCTATTCTGTAGAGCCAGGTCTTGCCCTGAGGTCTCTTATGCAGACAGGGTAGACCTGTGAAGGCTTGGTGCCCCTCCAGCTAGAGTGCATTCATGAGTTCCCAGAAACGTGTTCTCGTGAGGAGCATGTTCCTTGTGTTTCCGGTGGGAAGCTGGCTACAGCCTGTTTATGTATTTTAGCTTACATGACATGGCTAAAAACAGATAACCTAGAAAAACAGCATCTTAGTTGCTAGGCTGTAGCTATTTTGTTTGATCTCCTTTTGGCTCCATAAATCTCACATTCTTGATAACAGTCTAACAGGAAACTCACTGACTCAGGCTCTCTTGGGAGACGGGCAATAGCATAACCTTGGGGTGGGGAAGGACTGAGGCCTGGGCTGTTGACATCCTAAGGACAGATACTAATTAGAAGAATTCTGTTAACAGCGTGAGAAGTATCACCTCCTTGTCTCACAGCCCTGTTATAGAGAATAACTGAGCAGCCAGGGGCTCACCTTGGGGAGATTTTGGTGAGCTCAGAGCCTCAGTGGAAGTGTTAGTGTATGGGCAGTGTCTGGGCACAAGTATTTCACCTGAAATAATGTTGCTTCACTTCAAAATGGCTTTATTTAATTACTTAACACGGTGTGGATTTACTACATGGTAAAACTGGTGGTACTTGGAAAATCAAGGTGCACAGTGCTGGGGCTTTCTTAGCCTGAGTAACTTCTTGTGACTGAATTTTGGATTGTAAGCCAGCTTGCAAAATTCTGTTCCCAGTTAGAGTGGTTTTCTTTGAGATACACTATGTCAGTAATTCCACTTTGCCATGTCATGAGTCACTGCTGTGTAACCACACCACATTAACAGGAAGCACAGAAGTTTCAGTTCACCTGATATAACTATTTGCAAGACAGAGTTGGATATATGTAGGTCACTATATAAAGTGGCAGTCTCACCATGCATGTGTGATTTCACACTCTGAATTAAAAGAGCTAACCATTTGGTGGAAGGGCTAATAGCGATATGTTTGGTGGCGTGAGGCTGTGTGCACCAAGGTGATCTGAATTCTCTTTTCTCCTGTCTGCATAGACTAAATTATGGCTCCTGTCAGCAAGTCTTATTAAACATGTGAGCAAGGCTTATGTTTT